TAGAGTCAGAACATATAACAAATGAACAGAGTAAACAAAATGATATCTATTTCACAAAGAAGAATTAATTCCCCAGATTTGCCTTTTTTTCACTTGCTATTGTTTATATCTTAAGAAGTTCTCTAAGCAGAACCTTCATCTTTCCCCAGAGTGGGTCATAATTTCTGAATGACAGATAGTTAAATAAGCTTTTGGGTTTCCTTAGCAACAAGCTTACCCTAATATTTATTGCCATGAGACCTGACAAATTCATGAAGTTATTTCCCCTTCCTCAACCTTCTGAGTCAATAAGGTCAGCTTGAAGAGCTGCTGTATTTTTTAACCAACATTCTTCTCTTTACAGATCATGTTTACATGTGGTAAGACAACAGTAAGATAAGAGACATCAGCCCACCTTGCCTTTCCTCATATAATTACCCCTTAAAAACTGAATAGCACAGTCTACAATGACAATAAAGTTATTCTGACAAGAAACTAGGCAAAAATAAAAAATAAAAAAATATGTAAACAGCAACAAAGGAAAGAAACCTAAAAGGTACGCCAGAAGGTGCAGACCCACACTGCAGGACAACTTTGCAAGTACCACTTAGTTCATGATACACACCTCAACTGCAGTAAAATGCAAGAGCCCGTTCGCCTCTTCTCCTTAAACATGAAACTTTATTTTAAGATAACAGTAAGGATTTAGTCCAGTATCAGTCACTTGAATACGTGGTAATCAACTGCAAGAAATGATTCTTATTATAATTTTTAATAAGTAATTCTTTAAATTCCTCTTTTGAGGAATGATTTTCCAGCCACCAAAAGACTTGGACAATGGCTGCCTGTAGAACTGCACTTTACTTCTTATAATACTTGCTTAGAATCCTGGTAAAGCTGTTTAGGTTTACGTATTATGGTTTCTTTGAAGGAGAGACTGCAAAATAAAATAAATGCTTATAGTTAATTATACTACAGGAATACCTCTAGACTAGCACTCAAAGCACAACCGAATTACTGAGGCTGTTAAACAGAGGAGAGGAAAGAAAAAAAACACACACAAAACACTTGGAAGCTAGGGAAAAAGCCCACAAAGTTAAAGTTGCTTGCATGACCTTAATTCATCTCCCTTCTATCCTGAACAGAAAATGCTAGGAACCTTACCTGCAGCCTCCACTAGCAGAATCATAGCAATAGTTATTTGCAATGTCAGCATTACAAGCAAAGATACCTGCTTAGAAGAGATTATGGGAAACTGAGTATCAAGATCATAAATTGCTAATGAAATATAAGAAGTTATTAAAAAAAAAAAACACAACTACTTGAATTATTTTTAGTTGTCTCCTTGGTCACAATGATCTGTAAGTACAGCTGTGAAGGTGCCAAAAAGTTACCGAATTGAAAATCTGGTATGGGTTCTTTACTGCCATATCCAATTTTTAAAATCTGATCTCAATTGCCAAGAATGAGGGGGGGAATATTACATGCATTCAAGTTTGTTGAAAAGAGATAATTCTTTTTTATCCATTGTATGTATGAAGAAAAAGTACCCTAATACTAATATAATTGATATTTGGAACTAAACACTAAAATGACAGGTCTTAAAAACCGTAATTTGCTACCCACTTGCCTTGATGCTTAAAAGCCTCCTTTACAAAAGATCATTTCACTGTTTATCCTACTCAGCATTTTAGTTCTACAGAGCTGAGCTGCAGTCTATAAAAGATGTTAAAGTAAGCGCAAGACAAAGAAATGCAGATGATCAGATAACAGTAAGCAGAAGGTTCATGCTGTGCCCATTTTTTTTTTAAGTGAGTAGCAGGTTTCCCATGCATTGGGCCCAAGCCCAGAACTGGGAGACAGAAATGTTTCTTCCCTTTTACATCTCAGCAAAAGGATTTAACATTTTTCACCTCAAATTTCACTATGGGCCTTTCAGAAACTGAAACTCACTCTACTGTGGTAACAGGACACAGTAGGTGCTCTTCATTAGCCTGATTAAGTTAGTCAAAACCTGTGGAAAGATTTTAAATAAGTTCACAGGGCTTTGGGTCAGCAAAACCAAAGTAAAGATGCAGCTTATAGTAAGTAATCCTGCAGAGTGTCTCTTCCTTCACTGAGTTCTTGAAGAATTAAGGACATCAGGTCCTTGATCTCTGACTAAGGACTAAGATGTTTTAAAGGAATATCAGGTATGCTTGAAAGTGTCAATGGGTTTAGTAGAGGCTGGACTGAAATCCTTTCAATTATCTATGAAATTATCAAATCTTTTCCCTTATCCGTTTATCTATGCTAGATAAAAGCCATTCACCCTCCTACATACTGGGACTTGTTTCTGAAGTATCTAGCAACCCTATTCAGGATCTTTAGAACAGAGTTGGTTTTGAATAGTATGCTTTCTGATGGGGCAATTGAATTTTTTAGTCTGAATTCAAAACCATTGTCCTCATGAATATAAAGATAAAAGGAATATAAAAATAAACACATCTGAGGATATTTATTTAGTAACCTTGTACTAAGATTTCATTTTCTTACCTTTCCCTTCTCCAAAACCCGCTTCCATCACTTGGACTAAGAACAATACCATCAAAATCCTCAGGACTGCTCAGAGAAAGTTGTGAATGAGAACAGCAGAAACAAGTATTTTTCTACTTGCAGTAGATTTGAGCTCACACGAACAAATGCAATCTGCCCTGCCACAAGCCATTTACAATCTACAAGTAGGGTTTATTAGCTTGGGTTTAGCCTGGCAGAAATGCAATTACAAGGGGCAGAATAACTGCCTGCAGTCTGTTGGGAAGACATATGCTAAATATCCAAAGTTTCAGGAAATATCCTAGATCTTAATAGCTCTGCAGTGAGTGTGGTTGAGGAAATGGGTTCTTAATTTGTCTGGCTCCAGCAGAACTGTTTTTCAGGTTAACTGAGTAGGCAGTGGTTATTTACAGGAAACACTCCCTCCTTCAGAACTGAGAGCTTTGCCACAATTAAAGAAGGCAGCCACAAAGCAGATCCAACGTTTAAGATCATGATGTTATGACTCTTCCTCACTTTGCCTGTAGCCAGTGACCCAGGAACAAAGGACCTTCCTCAATACCACCTGGCCTAGACTGGTTTGATAGCAAAACTGGAGTCAGCTTTAATTTGTGAACAGGTGAGGCTAGGATAGCCAGACAGTGTACCACCCACATAACAGACCAGATGCACCCGCTCTGGTTCAGCCCTCCCTAGGGCTGCAGTGCCATGCCGGCAGAGCCCTTTAGCTCAGAGGGCTGGGCAGTGCCAGTGCAGCACAGTACAAATGCACAGAGAACCTGCTTATGCCCACTCCATCCACTCCGATCCTCTTCCTGCAACATAGATCATGGGAAAACACAGACACGCTGGTCTATGTATGCTCTTTTTTCACTAGGCTTTGCAGCCCAAGCTCCAATCTAAGGTGCCTGTCTGAATTTGCAGCAGAACAGGAAGCGCTGAGCATGGTAGCAGAGTGAGGAGGTAATAGTTTGGCTCTAGCTTGGTGAGAACTATGAAGCCTGGATAGACCTGAGCTGGCTCCTGACAGAAACCCCACAAATTGGTCTGTCTTGCGTTCCTCCTTCACTGGAGGAACACGAGAGGTAGTCTCCCAGGTTTCTGAATGACCAGCACAAGTCTGCCAAGATTATTCATCGCAGCTCTGCACCTCAGCAGGAAATCCTGCTGCCCCTGCCAGCATAGATCTGCAACCCAAACAACCCACCACATGTAGCTGGCTGAGCACCAGAGACCTTTGGGTCAGGAGGACTGCATTTAATGTGACAACTTTACTTCATCTAAAGCTCTCCATTGCTCTTTTTTTGACCAGAACATCACCACCACTTCCTTCTACCCTACATATTTTTTAACTCAGTTACTTATGTGCATGTGAGAGCAGGAATGAGCCCCCACTGTGCTGGGGCTTCAGCATGCACAGGTTTGTGGGAGCCCACAGCATTGGTCGTCTTGCTCCTGCACCACCAGCTGTAAGGAACTAGCCTTATCCCCAGGCACCTCAGCTGCCACAGATGTTACTTTCATGTGGGAGAATGGAGTCTGAACTTTCACCAGAACCTCTGGAATGATCTTTAGGTATTTGGAGATGTGCTTTTAAGTATTATAGAATCATAGAATAGTTAGGGTTAGAAAGGACCTTAAGATCATCAAGTTCCAACCCCCCTGTCATGGGCAGGGACACCTCACACTAAGCCATGGCACCCAAGGTTCTGTCCAACCTGGCCTTGAACACCACCAGGGATGGAGCATTCACAGCTTCCCTGGACAACGCATTCCAGTGCCTCACCACGCTTACAGTAAAGAACTTTTTCCTTATATCCAATCTAAACTTCCCAAGTTTAAGTTTGAACCCATTACCCCTTGTCCTATCACTACAGTCCCTAATGAAGAGTCCCTCCCCAGCATCCCTATAGGCCCCCTTCAGATACTGGAAGGCTGCTATGAGGTCTCCACGCAGCCTTCTCTTCTCCAGGCTGAACAGCCCCAGCTTTCTCAACCTATCTTCATACAGGAGGTGCTCCAGTCCCCTGACCATCCTCGTGGACTCCTCTGGACTTGTTCCAAGAGTTCCATGTCCTTTTTATGTTGAGGACACCAGAACTGCACACAATGCTCCAAATGAGGTCTCACGAGGGCAGAGCAGAGGGGCAGGATCACCTGCTGGTCATGCTCCTTTTGATGCAGGCCAGGATATGGTTGCTGTCTGGGCTGCAAGCAGACACTGTTGGCTCATGTTAAGTTTCTCATCAACCAAAATCCCCAAGTCCTTCTCCACAGGGCTGCTCTGAATGTCTTCTCTGCCTAACCTGTAGCTGTGCCAATGTTCTTGAGTGTCTCACATGGCAGGGTAAGCAAGAATGTGGGCTGAAGAACAGAACACCAGGCAATCCTTTTCTTCTCGCTTTACCTGCATAAGTTATGCTGAAAATAATGTACTGTGGCATTTTTCACAGGAATCTAATGAAAAATACTTTTTTTTCTTTCAGCTATGAAGAATGCGTGGGGCCAGGAGCAAGACAAATGTATATGCCCACAGATAATCCTCCCCCATATTCTGTTACAGACCCTTGTCGAAGAAATGAAACATCTATAAACATTGGCCTGGAAGCAGCATGTGGGTCTGCATGCACTGCAAATTGTCCAGTCCGGCTGCAGAACTTGCAGCGGCCCACTTCTTCCATCTCTTTGTCGCCTCTCGCTCTGGGGGCTACTTCCCGGTATGAGACAGTGGTGCGTCAACAGAATACCCCCGTATCACTTGTTCCCATCGAAGTGCTGAAAAATTCTTCTCCTACCTATCAAGCCATTTTGAATCAGGTCATATAATTAAAGTGGCTCTTTCCTTCAACTCTTCTGAAGAACCAACAGAACCCGTTTAAATGGAAAAATAAAACCTTTGAAAGTTTTACCTATTTTATATCTTTAAAAAGGTTGCAATGAGATATTATCTTTTACAGAAAACTTTGAAAGTTTACCTAAATTTCCCTTTTTGGCTTCAAAGTTCTGTGACATCTCACAGCATCAAAGAGAACCAGTGACAATCTGCATCTGACCTTTCTGAAGCATTTCAAAACACAATGAAATCAGCCACTCTTAATATAGATACGTGCTACCCATTCAAGACTACTTGTTGATTTTATGATACTTTGCATGTTTTCAAGCAGAAGGAATAGTATTTTGTTGTCTTTGTAGTACATTTCATTCAGTGTCTTGGCAACAAGGCATTTTAAAATAATTGTTTGTCTAAATATGTATTTTGAGTAGACAGAGGCACTGCCTGCAAAGCATGACTAACAGTAGCATACAGGAGAAAAAGAAGAATGTTATTTTGGCATTTTTTCTTTGGGGAAAAAAAAAAAGTATGGCCAGTACCAAGCTTTACAGACCATTGCACAGCCTGCTGTAAGGCTTCCTCAGAAGAAACCAGCACCAAGTGATGACAAGGTGGCAGCAGATCCCCAAAACACCAATTGGCAGAAGTACGGAAGCTGTACTACAGCTGTGTGCAGGCCTGGAAGCTGCATGCCCTACACAGGAACCTGCTAGTGCCAAGGGAAGGACATTGTCTGGAATCCCAGAAGATACTTCATGTCAATTCCCATGCATGACTGCGTTTTCAGGCACTAACTGGTCTCTTTCTTCAGTAAGGAGCCTGTAGCATTACAAAGTACCTTGGCATCTAGTAATTGCATTAGTATGATGTAAATAATAGATGCTGGACCTGGCATGCACAGTAACAGACAACCTCATTTCGTGCAGAAACCTCTTTTATTAGGCATGATCCTTTCCACTGAAATTTTGCTACCCGCAAATCTTTGTGGCCTTTGTTCTTAAACCTAGACTTCTCACACATTCATCTGATAACTGCATACAAATTGGAGATCTACGCTAGCTTGAACAGCAGAGGTAAACTGCAAATGCGAGAGTTTAATCTTGCGTGGTACACAAGAATCATACCCCCACGTGAGGACTAAAATCCACTTTCAGCCAGTACTAGTTACTAGAGCTATCAGACGACCATTGCCACTAATCTCTCGGAGGTATTTTTACTGATAAAAAAATAATAATAGTTTTACACTGATAAAACAGACTTCAGTTTACTACCCCCATTACAGAATATGTAAAAATTAGTAAATATGTAATTGTGTTTAAAAGGAAGCATCATCCAAATTATTAAAATTGCACTTACATTTTTTGTAAATACCAAATAATTTTCAACTATAATCATCGTTCAACATTCCAAAGATTGACACAATTATAATTAATGCTTAGATGGAAACTAATTATATGGTCCTTACTGCTGTATAGATTATACTACTACTGAGTGATATGCACATTATGAGATAAGGTAAGGATGCATTTTTTGCTAAGTAGATGAGAGTGAATATGTATTTTGCTAAAATAAGAGAATTCTTTTGCATTTCAGCAAGATACTCAATATTCTCGGGATACTATACCCAAAACAACAACAACAAAAATCACAATTTAGCATTCCAAAACTGCTGGCAGGGATTTCCAGAACGTAGGCTGTATTTCACATTTGTATCTTTAATAGAACTATTCCTCTGTGTAAAGTACTAGTGTACACAGTTTTGTGGTATGCAAAGTATCCTGCAATGAGAATCAAAACTCTACACCATCTATTAGGGGTGAGAAACGAAAACCAGCATAAAAATGTACCAGTCAGTTTATTGGCAGGAATATAAAAAGTGAAGGCAAGTACAAGGGTTTATTTATGCAGGATAGGACATACTTTCATAGCTGTGTCTTCTGCAGTTCTTGGAGACCTGCCTAGAACAGCCTAAGGCACTGAGACCAGACCTGCTTACTTCAGGTTACTACTGGGGAGGTGGAAGGAGAAATCTAATAAGTATTAGAAGGCAAATGTGATTCCCCCCTCCAAAAATGTGTGTTTTACTGTAACATAGCAAACCTGAAGGTTCTTCTGAAGACTAACACAGAGGGCTTTTCACCTCTGTCAGGCAAGCCTCTGTTCTGTTATATATGCTTACAGTTTCTGTGCATGTTGGGAACTCCTTTCAACCTGTTTGCCTTTTAACTTGATGGGGATCTTATGCTATTCTGCTAACTTTCTATCTGTTGTTTACAAATTAAGCTGCTTTTAAGTAGTCCTCATGAAAATAGGGGATTTGTATTTTACCTCATGATAGAAATGCATTATTAATATTATAGAAAAATTAAGTCTTTCTTCACTTTATAAGTTAAGCATCCTTAGCATTGTGATCTACATTGTATGTAGCAGCACAGCTTACAAATAGCCATCTACTCCCTCTTGTGGTATACCACATCGTAAAGTCAAGCCTTCTAGTTTGATCCACAATGAGGGACCAGTACATCAAAATTTGGAAACCAACCAAAACATAACACTTCCATACTGTTAACATTTTTCCAGGTTAGGACCAAATGTGTATGGCATGTCATTCATTATGAAAAAGTCTTGAAAAAACAAACTGTGATTTTAAAGTAGAATGTGCTACCTTGAGCGGTATCTTACTACAATCACTTGCAAGAGTAGCTTAGTTTTTTCTGCTCTTGTTAATCTTTTTAACTAGGTGATAGCCAACAAAGTTATAGGGAAGAAGGCTTCTAAATCCAACCCATATACCTTTGCAAATAGACAATGCTAGAAAGAGAAGTCCACACCTCTAAAGCTGCTCTAACAGCTTCCAATGCTACTACTGGAAAAGTGTTAAGATTTCTTGTAATGATGCAAAAAGAACATTTCTTGGAAAATAATTAAGATCCTGGATAAATCTCAGCACAGTTGACAGGAATGTTTTCTGATGCCCCTTTTAAGAAACTCTTATCTTTCCATCGGATTATATGGCTTTCAGCAAACTGGTCTAGTGGAAGTAGTCCCTGCCCGTGGCAGAGGATGGGAGCTAGATGAGCTTTAAGGTCCCTAACCCTAACCAGTCTGCTGTGATTCTATTGTAAACTGTCACATAATTTTAATACAAGTGCTAAAACAGGCTTAACATGGGCCTTTCATGCATTACATCACTAGTATCAGAAAGAAAACTTTGGATATGCTGTTTCTCGCTATGTGGTAACAGTACTGTATTTCTGTAAACTCTTTTGCTTCGATTTTTAGTGTACTGATCTTTACACAAAGCTTTTAGTAAAGAATGTATGTGTATTTGACACAGCTTCTGTGCTTTCTATTGTGTCAGTATCACTTTGGTACTACCCACAGCCTTTAGCTTCATGTTAGTTAGGCAACTAAGCAACTGTTGACTACACAACATCGTGATTCAGCAACTTACATTTGGATCTTACATTTCTCAGAAATCACAGGAATAAGCAGCAATAAGAGCAGTCAGGTCTCTCCTGCTCAGGGAGACCAGTCAGGCAGGATCAGCCCAGCTCAGCAAAAGCAGAAAGAGAAGACCCTGCAATTCTGCTGCAGTAAAAATTATTACTCTTGAAGTACTCTCAGGCATTTCAGAAAGCATCAGAAACCCTCACAAACACATTCATTAGTACCTCTGAAAATTACTATGGCCAGAAGACTGGAAAATGCAACATACCACCTAGGAAAAAGGGTAAAAAAAACAGTAAATAACAGGCAAACATTCCCAGAAATATTCAAACAGATAATTTGTTAGCTCAGCAAAGTGAGTAACAGTGTATTTCCTGAATGGAAACCACATCAAAATGATTTAACTGGTCACAGTACAGTCTGACAAACCATTGCCCTTCTTAAACTGGTTAAACACTCTCTGCATAAAATTATAACCACAGACTTCTGTAAATTAAAATAATAATTATCACACAGAATGCTCTGTGTTACTTTTAAACAATGCATCAGGTGGGATCACCTATGTCCTAATGAAAATACTGAGTGTTGCTGGTTTTCAGAGCTTTGAAAGAGAATAAGGACCTATTAAAATCAGCAAATCACATTAAAATAGGAGAGGCAGGAGTATGAAGGAGAGCAAGACTGAGATCTGAAGAGACAGAAATAGCCTGGAAAGAACAAGGTACAGTTCAGTGAAATAAATACAATTCCTGCACTTGAGAAATGCAGGCTCAAATTCACAAACACACAACACGAAGCAACCTGCTAGACTGCAGGAGAATGTCTAAGAACTACACTGAGATCAACAGCAGCTAACCAGCAGCCAGTAATGTCACACTTCAAGGAAAAGAAATGAAGAAACGCGAATAACTGCAGCTTAGGCATATAAATAACACTATTTGTCCTAAATCATTCAAAATAGCTCTCCACTCACTACTGCTCCATTAGGAAACAGAATCCAAGCCAAGGGTCTACAAGTCAAGGAGGCTGGCAAACCCGAGTGCCTAGAGTAAAGGAAAAAGAAAGGTTTTATCTTTCTTGGTTTTGCACGACAGCGAGTAGAAAGCTATTCTCCATTGTCATGTAAAAATGAGATACTAGAACTGATGGGAAATGGAGAATTGGTATTTTATACATTGTAGAGAAAGAAAGATTCCACATGTCACTGGGAACGGAAAGGCCGAGTTTCAGTCCTGTCCTAGTGCAGCTTTCCATGTCCTCTCTTTAGGACTGTCTGTCAGTGTCTAACACTGCTTCACAGCCTCAGAATTGGCAGTTGTACTTCAGTCATTGTGTATTAGCAGCTTTCCAAATCCTAGATGATCTGCCAATACCCTCTGGGAAAAGAGAGTTCTCTCAGCCCAGACCACATTAGTGACCCACTGAGAATTACGTCATTTCTAACACCATACTGTTGTCACAGCAAAAAAGCTTTCAGTGAAAACATTCATCACAATTAAGTCCAAGCACCTATAGCTCTAGCTTCATGTGAAGTGGGAACTGTAAATAGATCAGAAACTAAATTCATGTTTTCTGAGTTCCCAACAGCATCTCATAAATTTAAACTTCTCAGGCAGAAAAGTTCATACTCATTTCCCTTTTACTCAGCTCACAGTAATGAATGCTTGAACACTGGCTGCTGAACTCATAAGAATGTAATAAATTCACAGCTCAGATTTCAGACAGGTCCATATGCATATATAACCTCACTTCCATTAAAGCAAGAAAAAGTAACACGAAGAACAGCTTCCATGTCCAGGAGAGTCACAAATAAAATTAAAGCTTTAAGGAACACAGAAGTACCCAGGATGGTCTGTTTGTGGTTTGGGTCCAATGCCTTGATTCCCTTATTTGTTCTTCTGCATCTCCTATTAATATAGTTTCAATAACCCTCCTCTGCCCAACTGCAATGAAATAAGAGTCAGGTATACAGCCTGATGCAATTCACCAGGTATTGACATTGTGAACTTCTGAACCCCAGGGAAAAAGCAACAGGTTGCATACACACCTGGAAGTGACCATTCCTTTCTATGGAATTCTTCTCTTCTAAGATGAATGACCAGGCTTTTGCCTTGCTGTAGTCTTTTAGGAAAAAAAAAATTAATTTTGATAATTTTGATAGATTCTGTCTTCTCTTACACGCCAAATGAACCCAACAGATTCACAAAGGACTTTTTTGTTTGTTTTAAACTAAACTCAAATAACAATAAAGCAGTGGAAGAACACTGTAAAAACTAAAAGTATTTTGTCATGGCTCCTAGCCAGATTTCTGCAGGAGACTGAAATCAGTAATAAGCAAAATTAATGCACTCAGAAAAGAGCAAAATTTCTTGCAAAACATTTTTAAAATAGCACTGAAGAAGGAAGGAGGAAGATGGAAAACCTCATAGCTCAAGGGTACTGCCACGGGACTTTCGGGGACCTGGCTCATGGGCAAATACCCTGCCTCACTGACAGTGAGGGGATTAGTACCACATACACACGCATGCCAAGGAATTGATTAAGCTTCTCTTTCAGAAAGCAAGCTTTTAGTATTAGGACCTTCAAAACACAGAAAAATTCCACCCTTGGAAGCTGTACTAGGGATCTAATTCAGAGAATAACAATAAATAAATAGCTAGACAGATAAGACAACTCAGTATTTGCTGTTTATGTAAATACACTTGACTGAGAAGCAAAACAAAAGAACCAGCAACAAAGCAAGATTCCTTACATCATTCGGCAGTACTGCACCAGGCTGCAACAAAACACAGCTAGCTATTCTGTATGTTAACAAAAACTGCAGAGTTGAAAGGATCCAATCCCGCCCCTGTGGGAGGGTGTGAGCAAAAACATAAAATGCACCCGTCTCGTTTGGGTCAGTAAAGTTTTGGAAATGGCGAGAAGAGAGCGCAGCCGCCTGCAGGCACCCTGCTAAGAGCACAGCCAACCCTGCCTGCGTGTGCAGGCACACATGGCAGGGGAGAAAACTCAAGGCATTGCAGCAGATGGCCTCATTTGAACATGCGGTGCTAGCATGGGGATCTGACTCCCCTTCCCTCTTGGCTAGATCAGCAATTTTTATATAGCAATTTCCCATACACAAATTCTAAATAAGTATTTCCTAATGGCATTTCACTTGGAATGACGATCAAAAGCATATGTTTTCGGAAAGTCTTCGTCCCGGGCAAGCCAGAGAGAAAAGCAGTTCGCTTGCAACACCATAGAGCCGCTTTCACGAGGAAAAGAAATACGACCGCGGCCAGGTAAGCCGAGATTCCGCTTCACCACAGCGCCCTCGGAACCCTGGGGTCCGGAAACACT